GACATTTTGAATTCTCCCTCGACTATTAGAAGTTTCTCGAGATTGGCAAGATTCTACAAGAGATTTATTCATGATTTCTCCATGATTGCAGTACCCCTCACTCGTCTGACGAGGAAGGAGGTGGATTTCCAGTGGGGCCGTGAGCAGCAGTAAGCATTTGAGACCCTTCGGAAGAGGCCCTGCGAGGCCCTAATTTTGACCCTCCCAAAGGGAGTTGAGGATTTTGTGGTTTTCTATGATGCGTCCATCACTGCGTTGCAAGCGGTCCTCATGCAAAGATGATGAGTGATTACTTATGTTTCGCGATAGTTGAAGCCACATGAGTGGAGGTATCCCACGCATGATCTTGAGTTGGGGGAAATGGTTTTTTGCCTTGAATATTTGGAGGCATTATCTTTACGGTGTCTGTTGTACTATCTACACGGATCACAGGAGCGTGAGAAACATGACAGATCAGCCGAACCTGAACATGAGGCAGTGCAAGTGGCTGGACATAGTCAAGGATTATGACTGCGAGATCCTTTACCATCGGGGTAAAGAGAACATGGTGGCAGATGCTTTGAGCCCTAAGTCGGTCAGAATTTTTGATGGGGTGTCATGTATGAGGAAATCTGTGGATTCTCCACTTGTGGATTGATTACAGAGGCCTAGGACGAGCATGTTAGGAAGGAGAATTAAATGGTTGAGAGGATCAGGGGTGAGATCACCAGATTTTTCCTAAATAGTTGTGGGATATTGACCTGATGCGGTCGTGTATAGGTTCCTATTTCTGGTGGGATCAGACAGATTGTGTTGGAGGAGGCTCATAAGTCTCGCTATTCCATCCATCCGGGGGCCACCAAGATGTATCAGGATCTGAAATTGAGCCACTAGTGGTCGTGCATGAACATGGAGATCGCTTGGTATGCTGAGAGGTGCTTGACCTGTAGGATGGTCAAGGTCGTGCATCAGAGGCCGCATGGCAAGCTGCAGCCTCTGGAGGTTCCCATATGGAAACTAGAGTAGATTACGATGGACTTCATCAACAAGTTGCCGACGATTACAAAGGGTTTTGATGCTATTTGGTTCATCGTGGATAGATTGACCAAAAGAGTGCCCATTTCCTGGCTATTCGGGAGAGCTCATCGGTTAAGAAGTCGGCCGATATGTATATTCGCAAGAACATTGTTATGGGGTTCCGGTCTCCAATGTTTTAGACTGTGATGTTCGGTTTACCTCCGGTTTCTGGCAGAACTTCTGTGAAGAACTGGGCACAAGCTACACTTCAGCACAACTTATCATCCGCAAACCGAAGACTAGAGTGAGAGGAAGATAGAGAATCTTGATGCTATGTTGCGAGCCCGTGTCATTGATTTTGGTGGGATTTGGGACTCGGGGACATGGTGTTGCTGAAGGTCTTACCTTGGGAAGGTATGATTCGCTTCAGGAAGAGGAGGAAGTTGGGTCATTATATGATTTAAATATGTTATTTGAAGTCCTTGGATATAAAGATGTAGCCCTATGAAGCCCGAGTGGCAAAATGGTAACTCTTAGGATCATGAGTAGTACACTGGGCGTACATGTGAGTACGTTGGGCGTACTAATGTCCGGATGAAACCCGAATTTTTAGGCTTTGAGGAGTATTTAAACATCTTTATAGGTCATTTAGACTTATCCTTTCAGCCTCCAAGCGTTTGCATCGTCCTTACAAAATCCTAACCCCATAAGAGAGTTTTTTGAAGCGTAAAGTGTATTATTGCGTTCTTAAAGGAGAAGGAAAACCATCAAGGAGTCAAGGAAGGAAAGCAAGCTTGTAGATCTTGGATCATCATCTTATTGGAAGCTCCAGAGGTAAAAAGTTACTACCTTTAATCTTGGTTTTCTTAGATCTTATCTTGGTAGCTTAATAGTGTTCTTTTGTCCCAAAAGGTCTCATTTTTGTGCATGATTGGTGTTGGACATTTTGGGCAGTCCTTCCAGACCCTAGTAAGGGTTTTAAAACATAAAAATGAGGTCCCAGTGGATAGAAGTATCTTGTGCATTTGGTAGAAGGGTCTTAATGGATTAAGATCTTGTATTAAGAGATTTTTGGACGTCTAAAGTCATAAAGTTGGAGACTTTATGACTCTAAGATGCATTTCGACCATGGATCTAAAGTTTGCGCTTAACTGCTTAATCCATTAAGCACTTATTCAGATTTTGAACACTACGATGGTATACCCTACGTAAGGAGACGTACACCCTGCGTACTGGTTTAGCTACCCCGATGGTGGTTAATGCAAGGTGAGGGTACACCCTGCATATGCCTTCTGTTGGACTTCACACTTTGGGCTTCAAGTTTAGTGCCACCTTTTTGGCTTGAATGTTTGGGCCTTCATTGGACTTTTGAGTATGATTGTTTTGGGCTGATTTGAGAGTTGACCTTAGGATAATGCGGAATAAGGAGTTGGGCCTAATTTGGAAAAACAGGCCAATTATGAGTCTTGAAGTAATTTGCACGTTTTTTGATCAAAATTAGACTTAGGCCTTAGCCCACTTAAGGAAAAGAGTAAAGTGGACATTTACCCTAAGTATGGATCCTTTGTCAATGAACAGCCAGAGGTTTTCAGTATGGTTTGACATTGTGAGGTGAGTTTTCCTCACTATACGTAGAGGTCGATGGCACCAAGGCATGTCCATTGGGTTGATAACCTGATATTGTTGATATGCTGAGTTTGGAATACATATGCGTGCAAGTCTTGATATGCTAATATGGTATATTTGTAGCACTACTTGTCTTGTTGTCTGTTTATTTGTAAATGATATTATCTATTATATGTTGACATATTGTGTGGGTTGGGTTGAGGTTGTACTGCTCCATGTTGTTGCCAACAAACCCTAGAGCATACAAAATATAAGCTGAGGTCCAGCGACAACATTACAGACTCATACTAAGGGTTCATGAGAAATGTAGATACGAGTTGAGGGCCAGGAAGCGCATGCCATACTCATGCTTAGGGCTAAGTGGTATTCAGACAAATGACTAATCAGGCAGGGTACCAAGCCCGACATAAGTTGTGGACCTATTCCATGCTGTTATTATACTTGTGTTATTTGTTTTGTATTGGTATTTTGGCGGAACTCATTAAGCTTTGGTCTTATAGTTTTGGATTATGTTTCAGGTACCTTAGAGGATCGCGGGAAGGCGAAGGCGTGATCATGCACCTCCTCATGTTTTTTGTTCTATGATTTTGGGATTTCTCTGATATTAAATTTATTTTGAAAACAATTTCTAGACAATGATGGGTTTGGAATTATTTAAAAAAGTTTAAAATTTTCAAGAATTTTATGAATGTTAGACTTTGTACAATCTCGCCTTCACCTTCCCATTATCCTTGGAAGTATCTGAAACCATAAACCAAAACTGTAACCCAAATCTTAGTGAGTTTCCCCCCAAAATACCATACATAACCAAACGGATAAACGAGAAATGGGCTTAATCAGTCATCAACTAGAATGCCAAACTATACCAGGTTTGTTGGATTGACCGCCTTAACCTAACTTCTTATCTCAAGCCTCCATGCCTACAACATATAGCCGGCCCGTACCAGGTATATTGTCCTACAGCACAAAGCATGACCGCTTCAACCCAAACAAAACACAACATGTCGACTTGAAAATAATCAAGGATCATGTATGCACATAACACAGACAAACATCAATCATATAGCTCACTACCGCCCACTAGTCCTCACATAGCATACAATCCTGCTACCAACTAAACTCCATGAAATGTGTAACCATAGGTAACCTTAGTTGAGATAGGCACCTGAACATGTGATCCTAATCTTTACCCACAATCAAACAAGGAACAGGAAAGAATGCCTAGCTCAAGAGGTCTTTAGCTATCCTACATGACCATAGATAGTCCCTAGGTACTCCACTATATGATAACCATCAAGTACAAATAGCATATAGTTCTACAAATCACTACAGCAATGAAACATACTCGATATCAAGATATAGATCTAATAGATGACCACAACATAACTACATACAAAATATCAACAATCCATGGAATACATGACCGTATATAATTAGAGGTGAGATAGACACCCAGACATGTGATTCTACTCTAAAACCACAACCAAAAAAGGAACAGGTAAAAGAGCCTAAATCAAGAGTCCTCAATTTATCTGACATGACTATATAAAGCCACTAGGCGTCCCTCTACTAACATATAACCAAACTAATGGGCCGACATTGATTCCTTTGACCCACGGGTATAGTAAGGCGAAACTCACCTCGATATGCGTGTAGGTCACCACCATTTTAATGAAACACTCTACCAACTTCAACTCACTTCCAATTACATATAGGAAGATACTTGATTCAATACCCAATCACAGGTCATAGTTATTTGTAACAGTGACTACCTCACATGAAATGATGATTAGTGTTCCATATAAAATGATGATTAGGGTTAAATAAGGACACTTCACCCATTAAGGACTTATACACCTAAGAGTAGGACAAATTAAGGTTTGACCTAGTCATTCTCAGGTATAATAATAATCCAAGTAATAGCCCAAACAGGTGCATTTAGTTAATTCATTAAGTCCAATACTACATTTAGTTAATCATAAGGAATTATCGAGTACAAATTAAAGTCCAACTGACAATTCAACATGGGTCCCGTAAAAACTCCAAAACTAGGGTGTCTTGCCACGATGCATTCCTTCAATTTTTTTGGGCTTAAGTCTAACTACCACCACGGTCAGTGGTGGTCAACGACGATGGTACCGCTACAGCGACCACCTCATTGTGATAGTAGTGGTTTTCGAGTGATAAATCCATAAACCAAACACACACACACACACACTAGCACCTAAAAACACACAAAGACACCCAATACAACCACCCCATGGTGGTGGTGGTGGTTTTCTTTAGTTTTTCTGGGTAAGTAACACCCCTATACAACATACAACTGAAAACACAAACTCATGTGAAATACCCACAAAGACATCCACCCTTGTAGTGGAATGCGTCTTTCGGATAAACAACAGCAAAAGGGACAACCGTTCGGAGCGGCGATGGAGGCGGGATGCAGTGTGGCAACAAAAGAAAATAGAGAAGGTGGGAGGGTGTTGCGCCTTAATTGGAGAAAGGAAATAGAGGCCACAAGGTTTCTATTCTTCCCACCTCCCTAACTGTCACAAAGTGGGGCATCTTCTTCGTCAGCAGTAGGAACATCAGTGGTCGCTCGGTGGTTCTAAGCAGTATCGAATGGTGATGGTAGTGGTTGGAGATAGGTGGGATAAGGTGGCGTCTGATAAAACATTAGGTTTAGGGTTGTAGTGATCTAAAAGACGAGAGGGCAAGGACAGGGTTGTTGGGTTTTAGTCTCGCCTCCATCTTTCAAACTTAATTTTTTTTATTAACTTTTAGCCCCCCCCCCCCACACACACACACACACATAGACACACCACCACCACAAAACATTTTCAGATCAAACCCAATAATTACCAAAAAAAAAACCACAAATTCCACGATTCTATTCATATCTAGTTTGAAAGTTACACTTTAACCCCTAGTTTCTAGAATTTATAACATTTAATTTCTGACAGTGAACACCCCATCGAATTAATACGACATTAGGGATAAATTAAAAATTATATAAATATGTATCGAGGTTTAAAGTTAATTTTTGAAACCGGATGTTACAATTCTTCCCCACGTAAACTCGATTTAGTCTTTGAAACCTATCTCGATCTGACCATTAAAATAACACAAGTACATTTCATATGCTCCCAGGATTAATATAACCTAGTAGATTATACCAAACACTCCGAAGAAAACGTTTACAATATGGCCAACTCTAGTCTCTCTTACAAACACGCCACTAATGACTATATATATATATATATATATATATATATATATATATATATATATATATATATACGAACCAAAAACCCAAGGCCCAAACCCGATACCCAGACCGAAATCACATGAGATTTAGGTCTAAGCTACAAATAAATCCATGGGTTTTATGGCCTTAGACCGAAAACTAAAAAAGCTATGAAAAACAAAGTATGAACCAATATTCTAGACCCAACACACTAGCTTGGCCTCAAATTGGGTTTAACCAGGTTCTAACTAGGCCAAGCTTGGTGTTAGTTTGAATTCTACTTTTTTTATGTTCTCCGTGATGGGTATGCTAACAAGTCCCTTAGGCTCTTAGGCGTATGCGTCGGCTTGGTAGTGTTGCCATTTGAGCTTATATTACAACATGTGTATGTTTGAGAATATCTCTATCATTTGATAGACTTTAGGCAACATTGTCAATGTGTGTCAGATCCATCGCGAGACGGTTCATGACGCCAATTTTACCTTTAAAATCCCTATTTTCCCAAGACCTTTCACCTTTACCTCCTTTCTTTTCTTTCTTTGTATCGACCCATGCATTTTATGAAAAAAAATTCAACCATTCATTTATTCTTGACGATGAACCGTTGTGGTAGAGTCCCTACGGTAAAGGAATTCCAACTTCCGCTATATCGATTTGCTTTCGCACCGGAGCATAGTGTGATGATTCCAGTGAAGGGGTCATCAATCTATGACCATCCTCATGGGAAAGTGGGGGTCCTTATTTCTTTATTTGAAGCGGGGTTACTCCTTCCGACATCTAACTTTTTCGATATGATCGTCTAGCACTACAACTTTACTGTTGACGAATTAACCCCAAGTGCTTTCAATAAGCTAGTAGGTTTTGAACTGATATGTCAGTCTCTAGGTTGTATACCCACTTTTTGGGATTTCAGTTACTTTTTATGTTCAACTACGAACTTCGGTGTTTGCACTCTAGCGAAAAGGAGGGGCATTCGTCAATTGATCTCTGAATAGGATACTACGAAGAAAAATTAGCAAAGGAAATGGCTTTGGTTAACCGAAACCTTATAGGGCATGGATTTCGTAAAAGACGAGACTTTCCATACCATTTTCAAAAACTGTTCGGGGATAACCGAACTCTTGGAAAATGGCTAACAAACATTACTGTCATTGGGGAGAACTGAGAAGATTTCATTCTTGACGCAGTCGGTATGAGTGCCTCATGGAGAGCACATAGGAAGATGGTGCAATTGTTCATCATAAGATGCGCTATTCACTCATCTCCTTCTCCCCCCCCCCCTTTTGTTTTTAAAAAATAAGAACAAAGTATCTTACTGGTTAGTCAATTCTCATACTTAGTGTTTGTGTTCGCAGGAGCTGAATCCAAGATTTCCTTGGCGAAGGCCCTGCACGTTAACTATTGGGGTAAGCTTTTCCACCGAGAGATTGATCTTGTGGAGGCTCTTCCCCCTCCGGTATCTAAAAAACGCATGCGGGGGATCATTGGATTTCTCTCAGGATAAAAAATGTTGGTTCTGGCGGACCCGCATCACCTTCCCAGCCGGTTGTTGGAGTCGTTTCCCTAGTTTGTTTTCCTCCCTATGCTTCTTTTGATTTTCCTATAAGAGTGCAAGCGGGAAACGGTACTACCCTTTTTAACAAAAAACAAAGTTTGCGTGTGGTGCAATCAACGGACGAAGAGACTGTATCCGATGATGCAAGCCTTCGTCCTCGCAAGATGCGAAAGATGGTGTCTATGCCCAAGCTTCTTGGTGGTATTAGGGATATTATTAGTGATAAATTTGTTGTGCCTGGGCAGAAACAGATAGCGGTGGTGCCTAGTTCTTTAAAGGAATCACCTTCACCGTTTACTAGCATCTTCTCATTTAATCTTGGTTCCAACTCTGTGCTTGGGGGTGCACTGGGAGCATCGGGATATTCTTCCCCATCGGAAAAGCCTTCCATGGTTGATGAAATGAGAACTGTGTCTCACACCATGGTTTTCAGGCTTATGCTCCAAGTTGGGTTATTACTAAGGATTCCTTACCGTTGGGAGACATCACTGCTAAAGAGTGGAGTAGCTGTGCTCATCCCCCGACAAAAATGAAGTTGTATGCGGGCAAATCGGGCACCCACATGGCTGGTGACCTTCGATATCCTATGGCCCAGGCTTCTGCCTTTATGCTGCTGACCGGGTTTGTCGTTTTAGCATAAATGAAGTATAGTTAAAAATTTTGCAAGGTGCCATTTATGGCTTAAGATAGGAACTCCATGATTCAGAGGCCCAACGCTGAGTACTGTGAGAGAAAAATTGCATCATGGCCTGTGAGAAGGACACTATGGAAGATCATGTGACAACTTTGATGGCCAAATGGAGCGGCTTGAAAATCAAGCGAGTTCTCTCACTCGAGAGAAGGGTGTGCTAGCGAGTGAGTTGGCCAGGTACCAACGTCGACTGGCTCATTCCTAGGTTGATGGTGCTATTGCCCAAGGCAGTTTGCAATGGATGTTGGAAAAGGGGGTGGTTTGAGTAATTTATAAAGTTATTTAGAGCGCGGAATTTACCAGCGGGATCCAAGGTGTTTGTAAAGAGTGTGAGGCCCTTGGGTTTGAAAATGGGAAACAACTAGGTGGTTGTTCCATAATTTCTGGGGAACCTGAAGCGTCGAATCCTTGCCGTGTCGCGAGTAGAACCAAAGAGGTGGATATTGCTCTTTCATCCCTTGCTGAGACGGATTTTGTGGGCCTCTTTCGACTGGGGGAGCTGGATTAAGACAGCCTCTACCAATTTTGTCGTAGGCCAGGTCCAAGAAGCTGTTCCTCGGACTCTGATGACTAATTTTAGTTTTTCCCTTCTTTTTATCATGTAATGTATTTACATTCCCATGTATTATATGTGTAGTGAAAGATAATGGTTGTTGACAACCAACAACTGTGTATTTTGCTTTGTATTTGGCATTGACATGTTCTCTTGTATATATATATATATATATATATATATATATATATATATATATATATATATATATATATTGAATTGACTTGTGGCATCTTTAGGCTAGGGCTATTCGACATTTCTACTATAATTCTTTTATGCACACTCCCTTGTTCTAGGGTTCGTGTTAAGCGGTTAATGTGCGCTTCAGAAGTTGTATAACCGCTACTATTAACTTATATTTCACTTGTGTGTATGTTTTAATCAAGATTTTTATGAATCTTTTGGAACCCTGTTTTCTGTGCCATTACTTAAGATTTATACATTCTCAGCTCTGAGATGGTATTGGCAAATTATAGCTAAAGATTATAATTCTTTAAGACCAATGGTTACATCTTTGCATAGATTTTTCTCAAGTAGCATAGGTGATCAGCCGTTGTTGATACTTGGAAAATATACACAACCCCTTTACCGTTTGTTTGTGCAATTGGTTAAACAATATTCTGGAAAGCTCTTTCAAAGATGAAAATTATATTAAATCTTAAAAAAGAATGACATAAAACAATGGACTCTGAATGTCTAAGTATCAGGGGCATGCCCGGTCTTCGTGTCGGCACCTGGAGTATGGTTTTCCTGTGCGGAGTTTGACCATACTCCTTTTTCTCAACCCTCGCTTTATTTTTGGTTGAGTGTTCTGCTATGACTACCATGCCGTGATTTTGCATCTTTTCCTCATCTCATAAAAGTATTTCTTGATAAGTTCGGGTTTCCTTTTGTTTCCACCACTAGGTCTCCACGTGAGAGAGTTGAATTTCTTCTTTCATGCTCTACAGCCACTTGCACTTACCCTTCTTTTGGACCCAACGCAAGCTGCGACCATGGGAAGCGCCTATTCTTGGACGGGTGAGAATACCACCTGCGCTTTTATGCACGCCTGCAATCTTGTTTTTTACACTATCATTTGGGGTGTCGTTTCGCTCATCAGAGGCCCTGGTTGGTTCTCTTCTATAGGAAAACTTGTGTGTTAGATGGAGTAGCACCCCGCCTCTATATTTGTTGTTCTTGGAACTTAGCTCTTTCATCCCAGGGGGTTTTGTTTCATCTTTGACACTGGTGAAGATATGGTTTGGGTCCCACGTCCCTCTTTGGCTTGGCATAGCTTAGCCATCGATTGTGGGCTAGATTGGTGCCCTTACCCGCGAGTAGGCATTTCCTTGCTTTGTGGTTTTCTTTATGTACTTTGGCTGGGCCATCTTTGGGTTATTGTTTGTTTCTTTCTGTGGAAGAGATGTTGAGAGAAATCTGAATACATCTCTTTGCCTTTTCCAAGACTCATGGACCAACATTTCATCTGATGCATACCTCCGCTGTGGATTCCCCACCTTCTTGTAACCTTCAATTTGACACAATTGTGTTTCTTGCTTTGTTTCCCATCGGGTACTACATCCATTATGTGTCCTGGTTGCTATAACTGTTACCGATCTGTCACTCGTGCTGAATTTGAGAATACCATGGAGAGTAGATGAAATCTCCTTTAGCTAAAAAGAGAAGACCTGTATAGTAGAATATTGTGTTCAGATGGATGGGTAACACCTGAGAATTCGAGTACCCTTGTTATCTGTTTTGCACCCATCATAACTGAACAATGTAAATGGGAGCATAATTGTTCCTACTTTCCAGATGCCATGACCAGTGAACCCAATTAGCGGGCACTAGTGCGGTGGCTGGAAGTGTTTTTTCCATTCAATTGGTAACCGTTGAAGAAAGTGTTCATAGATCATGTTGACCCTGCTTCCGTTATCAATGTACACATGCTTAACACGGTTTTGGCTAATGAAATCGATGATGTGAAATGGGTCATTTAGATCCTAATGTTTTGGCTTGGGGTAACTCATTGAAAAGGCTATGTTGAGTATGTTTTGATGGTATACCTTCACGCCTTCGTGTTGGCTCAGGTGATTGTAGCATGGGTAGGGCTCGGTGATGGTAAGCATCCCTGTCCTCTTTTCATGGTCCTTTTTGCCATCCTTTTGAATTTTAGGCTGGTGTTTATCCTCATCAAATTTTGCTCTAAGCTCTTTTGTTATGTCAACTATGTTTCCAACTAGTTGTTTCTCATCGATCTCCCACTTCAATACCATGCATTCGGTGGTATCATGAGTTTTGCTCATATGATAATCACAAAACTTGGTCTTGTCCTTACTCTCTTTTGTTAGAGTTTTGTTGATTTCATGAACATCTGTATTACCATTCCTGTTTTCATATTTGTTGAACGGTCTATACCTCCTTGACATGTGTCTGGAGTTGCGATTGTGCCTCTGTTAGTTTCCATCTTGCCTCCCTTGTTGGGTTGAGCTCGGTCAGGACGCCTCTTCCTCTTGTTTGATGTATGTGTTGGCTACAACTGTGATATTAGCCTCCTTTCGCTCTTCCCATCAATTTGTCTCGGGTATTTTTCCACAAGGAACTTGAGCTCGTCCTTGGATCTGGGGACTGTCCCTTGCATCTTCTTGGATAAGGGTCCAGGAAGCAAACCTTGGGCGAAGGCGTCCGCCACCACAAACTCTTCATGCCCTAGAACATTCAAATTAGCTAGTGTGAATGAATCGTAATAGTCACAAATAGACTCTCCTTCTTTTTTCTTACATGCCATTATATAGTTAGCATCCCCTTTTCCTTTCCTTAATTGTATGAAGTTTTTAAGGAAAAGGCATTTCAGTTGCTCAAAACTCGAGATACTACCTGGCCTCAGAGACTTGAACCACTTGCATGTGTTTCATGTTAAGGTGCATGGGAATTAAGTGTAGGTGAAGCGATGATCCATCTTAAGAGATGTCATCGTCCACTCATAGTTATCGATGTGGTCATCTGGGTCTATAGTATCGTCCTACTTTGGCATGTTCGGTATCATCGCAGTGTGTTGAATCTCGTATTGAAGATGTTCATGGCTGAAATTGGAGCTTGCGCTTTGCATAGGGTTGTCCATATATGAGTACGACATGCCACCATAGGCCATGTGTTGTTGCGTCTGGGTAGGGTTCGCGTACATCTGGTTATGGATGGCCGCCAGTGAGATGTATAGTTGATATTGTTTTAGGTTTAGTGGCAAACCGAATTATTGGAATGTGTATTGCCTTGTTGCGACTTTGTATGGGTTTACTCTTGTGTACTGTTGCGTGGACAAATTGAACAGCTGAGTGGCCTCCAGGAAAGGGTCAAATTCATGTTCTACTAAGAATTGAACGTTGGATCCCTGATTGGTCGAGGTATGTATGCATGTAACTTGCGGCTGAGGCATTTCTGGGAATGAAACCAGGGTCTGTTGTATGAATGGGTTGAAGATCAGTGGTTGCTATACGAATAGCGGCACGTGAGGCAAGCCTGCCATGGTGGCGTGTGGATAGACAATTAGGGAATATTGTGGCTACGGTTGAAAATTGTGAGGGATCCAAGTTCTGGTGCCCAAAGTGTATGGAATGGTTTGTTGCTGCGAAACAGGTATCTCTGCTTGTTGTGTTGCGATAGTCTGTGGAGTTCTTGTTACGATTGCTAGTTGAGGAGTTGGGTTAGCTATTGGGTATCATAGACTGCCTATGTAGGTTGCCACTATTTCAGCTGTAGAGATGGATGGTGTCTATGAGACTGATGTGCGATTTGAAGCATGTTCTTCGTGGATGGAAGTTTTCCCTCCATCTAACAGTTGCATTGGATGTAGCAGACTTGGGATCTCACCTGCCATCGTTGCTCTTTGGGTTTACTTTGTGGATGTATCGTTCTAGAGATACGTCTAGATTGTGCCAAATGTTGTGATATGTTGGAGATGCTTGAATTGAGATTGTGGGTGAGATTCAAGCTAGTTCCTTCTCCTAGTATTAGTTTACAAAATATAAAGATTATTGTTAGTCAACATCCAGGAGGAATCCCCGGGACGAAGCTCTGATGATCAAGTTAGAATGCATTCTGAGAGAAATAAGAGTAAATTTTAGGAAAAAAGAGTTGTGACCCCTTTTTGTGAGGAAGATGGATTCTTTTATACCTGGTCGTGAGGCGTGTGCCTCCTATATGTTAAACATTCCCTCGTGAGGTGTGACGTGGCGGACCCGTATTGAAGGATCCCCCGTCACACCTTTTTCACTCGTCCCCTCATTGGCTAGAGGGGAATCTTTGATATTATTATGATTGTGGCTATTGTTAGTTAGGTAAGTGGAACTCTCTGATTGGTCCACATTTGTTGGTGTGTTATTCTCAAGAGAAGAGGGTAAGGCATAGTTTTGCTCCTTAAACATCATACCAGTGACTCCGCGTTGGCGAAGGCCTGACCTTGGCCTCAGATTGGGTTTAACCAGGTTTTGACCATGCCAAGCTTGGCGTTAGTTTGACTTCTCTTTTTTTGACGTTATCCCTAACGGATACGTTAACATCCATCTTGAACATGCTGAAGTACTAGGTCATTTTAGGTTTCTCTGAAGTAGCAAACTTCGGGAAAAATAGTGCTCTCTCAGTGAACAACTTTGTCATCTAAGTCACCAACTCTGTCCCTTGCCTCAGGTCCAGATACCCCTGGGATAATCTCTCTCTCTTTTAACCAAAGGAACATATATCGAGAGAAGCATATCAAAAAACTGTTCCCATGGCACATCAGCTCTCTAATCTAGAGTGTATAAACCAGTAACCAGTCTCTACCAATTCTTCGCTATAGACTGAAGAAGGTTCACAGCGCACTTGACCTTCTGGTCAGCTAGGAAGGAACAAGTAAAGAAACATCCCTCAACATCGGACAGTCACCTCATGGAAATGTTTGGGTCTTGGACTCTATCAAATGTCGAGGGCTTGGTATTATCAAAGTCCCGATACAGGAAGGCTCTCCTCCCGCCAATCCCCGCAGTAGAGACGGTCGCGGTAGCAGCAGCAACAACCTCTGAAAGTTCGCCATATCGGTCATTAAAGAAGTCCATCATGGAAGTCTTGATAGACCTAAACAACTCTGGTATCTTCCCCAATCAACAAAACCCTAGGGTTTATGACTTCCATGTTACGCGTATAGGTCCTATGCCTCTAGTACTACTGACCCACACTACCTTCCGTACCTACCCATATTTGTCTCAAGAGATCATCACAAAAAGAACTAACAACACAAACTAGAATACACATACATCCTATTCTCACTTCCTACAGAAAGGCTAGACGTTCCTCAACTAGTCGGCTGCTTGCATATATCTAGTTATATAAAGTAAAAGATGTGACAAAGCATGCATTGCTTTTAAGTTATTTAATAATCTACACCATGCTTGTAAGAGACATGTTCTTTGCTTTTTTTATTATTTGATTCATGCATGTAATAGACATGCTTTTACTTTTTCTCTTTTTTCTACATTAGATGGAGGATAAAAAGAGAATACTTTCAAGAATTTGGAGTTAACATTATGTGTCTTTTCCTTCTTCATTTGTGAAGCAAAACAAAGAGCTTCTTGAGCTCCCAATGCTACCAAATTTTCATGGTTTAAGCCCTCCCTCTCCTTTTTTCTTTTGCAATTTGGTGCTACAACCGAAGGCATAAAGTGTTAGTTCTCTAGAGACATATTTTGGAAACCTAATAAATTTCCTCTAGATAGAATGAGGTTCTCGTTGGGAGATCCATTATTGATTTGCACACCCCTCCTGGCTAAGAAAGAAACGTAGGTTCAGGCTATTGATCAAAATATATGTCTTAAAGCTTAAGAACAATATTTTAAAAGTGTTATACTAGCATATATGATGGTTTTACTCTTGCTTGGTGGATACTTCTAGAGAGCTTCTATTTTAGAGTTTAAATCCATCGTCCTCAACTTCCTACCAACCAAAAGGAATCAAAGTCTTCAAAGTTTGTAACGCTTTCCTTTCTATGGTTCTTTTTATCTTTCAAGGTCTTAAAAAATGATCATTTCGTAGGAATAAACCTAGTCTGATTTTTATTTAAATCTCAAGTCTTTTGTTGCTATGTTTATGTTTTTGAAACAATTTTTTGAATAAAAACCCAGAAATTGGTATCAGAGTCATTTGTGCACGATTAGTTAGATTATTTTTTAAGTTGATGAAATCCTTATTTTTTGAAACATTGATTGTTTTCTCTTTGTAAGAAAGGTTCATACATATTTTCTATGACAACTTTAAAACCTTT